TCACTATTCCTTTGGATTCTCAACCTGCATGTACAAAATGAAGGAGTGGAGAACTTTGCATAGAGAGAGATGAGTAGCACGTATTTTAATGGAATGTTGACAGTGCTTTGCGAGGTAGCTTGTTATGACCCTTTAATGATTGTTTTGGTGACTAGTAATGTGAGCCTGGAAATTCATTATGATCTTGAATGCTTGCTATGCACTCCTTAGCCAAATATTGGCTGTTTCATAGATGAGAACAGTTTTAATACAGAATTAATACTCGTGAGAGAAGCCTTACCCTCCTATGTTCTTGTTTTTTAGAGTGTGCAGCCATTTAGTACAGACTGTGTGTGCATCTGTTGCCACTCCTTAATATGTATCTCATGTCACCTGCACTGATAAGCTTCCTAGTACTTCACTGCACCAGTGGCCTGGCTAATAGTACAGGTGAATGTACAGATGTGTAGTTTCCTAATGTATCATGTACTCTTGGTTTATATGCTTTGGTTTATATAGACTTAAAGCATGTCATATTTGAAAATATTACTTCCTACGTGTTGTACAACATTTTTTAGAATACAGACTCATACCCTTTAACTTCACCCTTTAAAAAACTTCATCAGGTTTTTGTATTGGATAAATTCCATTCAGTGTATTGATTTACCATGACTTTGCTTTCTTCCACCACCCTTTTTTAATCTCTGGTGCAGTGTGCTCACATGCATCCTGAGATAGTAAAGAGGACAGCAGGGCAAGCACATCTGGGCAGCTGACTCAACTAGGGTATTCCTTATTTTTCTTTATTTTTATATATTTGATTATATTTATCAATGTTAGCTGTCTGGAAAGAGCTATCATTAAGAAGTATTGCTTATTGTGCACAGTCAATAGAATGAATCCATGGATGCCTCTTAGCATTGTCTTCTAAACTCAAAGTACCCTCTACAGTCTCTGTACCTCTAAAATGGGATATGTCACTGATCGACGTACTTCAACTTTTATCTATGTATTTGTACACATCAGAATATATTGTCATTAATTTGTACAATTTCTTAAATATGCTTATCCAAATTCTAGCTGCTCTTTAACTTTACCTTCGTGTTAGAGATCATTAAGGCTTCCCATTAATTGCTAATGATTAATGCACATTCTTACTTCTTCGCTTTTATCTGGGCATCATGCCAGGCATATTATTAAGCTGTTAGACTTTTCCATCCCCTCCCATTTTGGCAGTGCATGTGAAGGTGTTACTGACCTCTTATTCCTTTCTTCTGATGATCTTAGCATTACTTCTTCAAATTCTATGCACTGTATAGCTTTTTCCCCATTAAAAAATGCAAAAAGTACATCCATATTAAGTAGGCTACTGATGAGAAGACGGGATATCTCCAGTCTTGTTAATCAGTGAATTAACTTTGAGCGTTCATTGTAGTGCTGAAGATACACACTCAACTGAGTTTCACTTGCCCCGGATCAGATTTGTCACTGGCAAAACATTAGCAAGTGCCTTGTGCTGCTTCTGCCTACTCACTTCTAAGCTGGACTTGCTCTTTTGGAGAACTGATACATCTACTTTGCATACCAAAGTGTTTAAAATATGGTATTATTACTACAGTTCAGTCCTTCATCTGAATGAAGTTACACCACCTTAAAGTATCCTGTACCTTTGTTTTGCTGGGATAATAGTACCATGATTGGACCTGATTATCTAAAATGTATCAGAATTTGTGTATTGTGCTGATCTAGTTTATAGTCAGATAAAAGCAATGAAAACATTACAAAAACTGTAAGCAAGCCCTCAAAGATAGTTGGGTTTGCCTCTATTCATGATTACCCTTTTTATGCTATCTGCTATCTAAGGGAAGGGAACTTGCTTCTATATTTCTCCCTCTAAATTTATATGCAGAATTCTAATTTACATGCACTTTTGAAGAGACTGTTTTATCTCTGAAGGGTTTTAATCATACTTGCCAATGGTAGTGATTAAGAAAATATATATTTTTTAAAAAAGGGTATTTAGCCTGATACCACCAAGCTGTTTCCTGCAAGTTAGACATTATGACTTCTGAGGAAAAAAGATGATTTGTTTGATAACTTTTCTTTCCATGACACTGTGGACTGTTATGCCTCATTAGTTTGTCAGTTTCATCAATAACAATAAAATAGGAGAGTTGGTATGATTTTTGGACAGCAAGAAGCGTTTCGGGAGAAAGGAAGATATGGAAATGATGGGGTGTAGTGAAAACAGGCCTTCTGTGACAGATAACTATTGGGACTTCTGCGACAGATAACTATTGATTTCATACTGTTTCATAAGAAAAGGTAAATGTCATTGAATTGTGTAAACAGTCAGTTTCCACAAAAATCTCTAAGGTATTTGAAATCATCATTTTAAGGTGACATCCTTTGTCCAGTGAAGCCAATCATGAACTTTCCACTGAAGGTCATATCCCATTCTGCCTCTCCATATGGGCTCAGCTTAGTTCTTTACACAGTATGTCTCTGTTCTCCCTTGCTCTATCTCAGAACACATTAACAGTGAAACAGGAACAGTGTATGTAGTTTCAATCAGCAAGCACTAGCAAAGCTGCTATTTCCCCGGTTTTAATTGTCTTACTGAGGAAATTTGATGTTTTGTTCTCACTTGTTTTGTCTGCATCTATATCTGACATATACCATCTGTTTTTAAACAGAACATGATTTCTAGATCTGTGTCAATGCTCTAGTTACCTATTTTGTCTTTGAATAAACAAGCTGATTTACTTTTGTTTTTGTATTTTAAGAAAAAAATGAATTTGGGAATGCATTTAACTTTCAGTCTACGTAGCTAAAGTATATGAGTATATTTAAGTATATGGGAATGTTCACATTATTATGTATCTTAAAACCAACTGCTTTCACCTATAAGATTCCTCTTTCCCCATGTTTGTTGTGCATTTTCCTTCTTCCACGCAGCAGCACTTTGCGCCTTCATTCATGCAAGAGTACATGATATTCTTATGTGCTAAATGAATAGAGATGTGTGTATTTGTGTGTAATTGCCTCCTTCTAAACCCCTTAATCTTTTATTCAAATGCCAGGTAAATCTGCCTTTGTCCAGGTGTGCCATGTGTCACAGGCCTCTGTGATGTCTTTATGTAGAAAACCATGTGAGCAGGCATCTACTTACACTCATGTTATGATTCTCCATTTAGAGGATTTTCCCTCTGTGCTTTATCATGTCGTCTCCTGCACTGTTCCTTTGAAGTCAAACTTAAAAGTCACCTGAGAGAAAAGTAGAGAGTCCCCAACTGCTACTAGTTTAATCATTTATTGTGAACCAGTATTGGAGGGGGAAAAAAAAGTTTCTGATTGTAGAGATACAAATATACTATAAATATTTGGATGTCATCCTGACAGAGGTCATGTTGGGAGATGATGTACATTGTACATACAGCTGTTTCTGAGAAAGATAGTAATGGTAGTACAGAAGCAGACAAGCAAGGACACCAAATGCTATTGCATCCTTATAGTGAAAACAACTGTTATTTGTGAAGAGCTAGGTGTGTGTTTTGAATATTCCAGTGTGTTCATTAGTGCCACAACTTAGAAAGGTTTCCAGGGAGTCTGTTTGGCTATTGGAAAAAAAAAAAAAAAAAAAAAAAAAAAAAAAAAGCCCCCAAACAAAAGGTCAGGAAAAACTAGTGACAAAAGATATAGAAAGGGCAAGCAAGGTACTTAGTGGCTCTTTGCCATGGCTTTTATAGGTAAGATTTGTCAGTCAGTCTCCCAGGTCCCTTAGCCTAGCAGCATAGAGTATGTGAGAGTGAAACATTATCTATATTAGAGTAAGATAGATTTAGGGAGCACTTAAATTGTTTGGACATATGGAAGCTCGAGGGACTAAGATGGGCTGGATGAAAGGATGTTGAGAGAGCTGGTTGATGCTACTGTGTAGTCACTTTCTATCATTTTCAAAAAGTTATTGGGAAATTTTTCCTAATGACCAGAAAAAGGCAGGCACTGTACCTGTTTTCTTTTTCTTTTTCTTTTTTTTTAAAAAAAAAAAGGAGGGGGGGGGCAAGAAGGGTATACAGAAGAGAACTCTAAGCCAGTTAGCCTAATTGGGCCAGTCCCCTTCCTGGGAAGGTTACAGAACAAATCCTCCTGGAAGCCCTATCCAAGCACATGAAGGACAAGAACGTGATTGGGAACAGCCAGCATGTGTTCACCCCAGGCAAATGATGCTCCATCAGGCTTTCAGCATGATTTCCCATAATATCATTGGAGCCAAATTAGCGAGACCTGTACAGTAGATGAAAAATAGGCTGAACTGTCAGGCTTAAATGGTTTGTGGTTAGCGGTTCCTAGTCCAACTGGTGGCAAGGTTACTAGCTGTGACAAGCAGTATCTAATGTCTCCGTTTATGATGTGGGCAAAGGTGTGGAATACTCCCATGGTTGGCCTGTGGTTGATGCCAGCTGGGGAGAGTGGTTGATACACAATAAAGCAGTGAAGCACAGGGCTGCTGCTTGCTGGGATCCTGACAGGCAGGAGCAATGAATGGGCTGGCAGGAACATCACAAAGTTGAAGAAAGCTAAGTGCAAAGTCCTGTATCTGGGATGCAGTAACCCTACATGCTGGGAGAGGCTGGGGGGTGAGTGGCCAGAAAACAGCTTTCCATAAAAAGTCCTGGTGGGCAGCAGCATGTCCTTGTGATGCAGAATGGTGGGTGTGGGCTGGGCTATATCACCATAGGTGCAGCTAGAGGGATAAAGGAGGTGATTCTTCTCTATTCAGCAGTCGTGAGACTGCATGTGGAGTACGGTATGCAGTCTGGGGCTCACCAGTCCTGAAAAGCCACTGACATACTGGAACCAGCCACCACGACGGCAGTCAAATCCTGGAAAATGAGAGCCCCGAGAGGCTGTGAAATCTTCATTTATGGAGGCTTTCAAAGCTCAACAGCCCGTACAACCTGCTTCAGACGGCCCTGCTGGGGAGGGAAACCTCGGGTGGACATCCTCCAGCTGTACCTCCCACCTTCCCCCGTGCCGCTGTCGGCCGGATCGCCGCGGTGTGCCGTGTTCGGGGGTTGGCTTTATCGGCGGAGACCCGGGGCGGGGCGGCGCGCGTGTGTGAGCGTGTGTGTGAGTGTGAGGAGTGTGAGTGCGTGTGCGTGGGGAGCCGCCCGGAGCATGCGCTGCGTGGGGCGGCGGGCGGCTGGCGGCGCCGCTCCTCCCCGGCAGCCGCGGCGGCAGCCACCGAGCCCGGCCCCGCTGCTGCCGCCGGTGCCGCCGCTCGGGGCCGCGGTGGCGGCCGCGGAGCTTTGAGCACCCGCCGGGGAACGGCGCTGTCAGCAGCCGGCCAGCCGACCCCCATCCCCGGTCTGAGCCCGAATTGGGGAGAGAGGAGGAGAGCGGCGAGCAGCGGCCATGGGCAACGAGGCGAGCCTGGAAGGAGGAGAAGGGCTGGGAGCCTTCCCCGAAGGGGCGGCGGCGGCTGCCGGGGATGGCGGCGGCCCCGCGGCCCCTTTGCAGCGCCTGGTGCCGGCCGGCGTGGAGGCGGACCTGAGCCAGCTGAGCGAGGAGGAGAGGAGGCAGATCGCCGCTGTCATGTCAAGGGCGCAGGGGCTGCCCAGAGGGAACCTCGCCGGCGCGGAGCCGCCTTCCATGCAAAGGCACGCACGCAAAATCGCCCTTCTTCCCCCTGCTCCCTTCCCCGTTTTTCCCGTTTCTCGTGGTGGGGCTGGGGGCGAGTCGCGATGCAATCCGGGCCCTTTGCATCGGGAGCGGGCGTTGCGGTTTGCTGCCTGCCGGAGGGAAGGGGGAGGCAGGCACTGGGATAGAGCGCACAGCCCAGCTTTTTCGTCCCCACTCCGGGGCTTTCTGCTAATAACGGCGGTCATCGGTTCCAGTGGGCTGCGCCCCTTCCTCTTCCCTCCCGTCACACCGATCCGGAGCACGGGTACTTTCTGTGCCTTGGGAGGGGGAGATCTGCAGCCTACATTTCGGTTTTCTCTGTGTGTCTGTGTGTGTGCTTTATGGGGTTGGAGTGCCCTACTGCTCAGGTAGTAGCCAGGAAAGCTCTCCCCAGGGCGGATGGATTTTGTAAGCATCTCTTTATGGAGGTATGGGGAGAGGCATTCTTGTTGAATCTTTCAAAGCTTTTGGGCATAATGCATTTGCTAGCCATTACTCTGCCAGTTCTTATCCTCTACAACTATCATTTGGCTTCATTAAATAGTAATGGATTGAGGAGGAGGTCTGTTCCAGTGTCGCTTTTTTTTTTCTTTATTTATTTTTCCTCTTGATTTTTTTTCCCCTTGAGAAGGAAAGAGAGGCGAGAGAACAAGAATTCAGTGTTCTGTGTAGTAATGGCTTTACCTCGTCGTTCATCTGTGAAGACTAGGTCACTCCCTTCCCCTGTCCTTCCCTACCCCGTAGTAAATTCACTGCCCGAAGTGCAACAAGCCCGATGTCCCCGGCCCACCTGGGTTCGCTCCCCAGCGCTGGCCTGCCCCGCTGGGTGCCCGCAATTTGGCCCCCGTGTCCCTGTCCCCGGTCCTAAACCTTCCTCCTTTCCATGTCCCCGTCTCTGGTCCTATAACCTCCGCCTTCCCCTGCCTCTGTCCCCGGTCCTGAACCCGCTGCCTTCCCCTTCCCCTAGCCTAGGGCCGACGTCTCGGTTGCTCTGGGTGTGTTTTTTGTCTTGAAGGGGGATGCTGAAGAGAGCCTGCTGTAGTGTTCAACACGGTTCTTGTATATTGACCTCACCCCCGATAAATGCATGTTTCATTTATATAATATCAGGTTTATATAAGTGAATTTTAGAAAAGAAGTGAGGGTGGGACCATATTCATCCTTGGGTAAAGTACGGAAGTCATTGGTATTATAACTGAGATGAATGTCTGTTTTATTATTACTATTATTATTTTCAATTGGAAGTCAAATCTTGCATATTTGTTAAGCAGGTATTAACACTGTATGTAGAATATAATATTCCATGCAGTTCAGTGCTTTACCCAGCTTCTGTAGATGTTAGTGAGGAAAAAATCTTATTGATCAGTTCTGTGAAACTAAGCTCAGAATTCCCTTATGTATAAACAGCTTATGAACAATAGTAAAAAGTTTAGTGTTTCATACTAATCTTCCAATATAAAGATAAATGTCCTTGGAAGACCATAGAACAGGCTAAAATATGAATATTCCTACATTTATAAACATATTTTTTCCCCTAAAAAACATGCTGTTATCAGAAATTCTATCAGAAATTCTTTTGATCTTATTAGTACACCATACTTTCATTCTCTGTTTAAAGTAAAGGCAGTCTAGATTTGTGAATTACTGCTTTTTTTTTTTTTTTTATAAATTGGCCTTTTTAACTCCAAGTCAGTATAATAGCCTATCATCTAGCTTCTCTTGTGGGTGTGTAGTGATTCACATCATATCTTTGTGCCTGTCATAACATAATGAGGTTTCTACTTGTCTTTGCTTTTTTGGCTTTACTTGCTCCTCTTTTATACCTCTATTTGCTGCTGAAATTTTCCAGCAATGATAGGAATGATTATTAAGTGAATGATTATTATGACCCAAACCATTGGAGTAAGACTTACCTAAAGATTAAGGATCAGCCTCTTCTAGACTTTAACCCAAGTAAAGAACTAGCCTGCTGAGACTCAGATTCCATAACTTCAAACTTTTTTTTTTTTTTTTTTTTTTTTTAAGTCTGTGTGGAAAGTGCTTCTTAAGCAATGCTCTACAACTGTTGTCTTCAACAGCTTTTTTTTTTCTGATGTGGCTATGCCAGTCCGAAAGATAAATGATTGCAATGGTGATCAAATGCTGATATTCAGGCTTCAAGTGTATATAGCCTTGCATTATGCCAGTGACCCTGTTAGGTTGTCTCTTAGTACTTGTGTGTGTTTTTTTCCACATCTTGTTAACTGGATGTTCTCATCTGTACTTGTATTTTAACATTAGTGATTATCCAGTCTTACCTGAGAGACTGATCATTATTTTCTATTTTAAATAGTCCTCCTCCCACCTCCACCAAGTAAATTATTATTAATATTATTATATTTTTGAATGTTATATTCTCTTGGTTCCACACAGAGTTTGGGATGCTTAGGACCTATAGAATAATATAGAATTTAGAAATACAGAATAATATTTAGAAATATAGAATAATTCCATCCGATTTCAATTTCCTGTCTTAAAAAAAAAATAAAAATGTTTAGCAGTTTTAGCTGAAATATGCACAGTTAATTTGGAAGCTTGTTCTAGTTGTCCTAGCTACATTGAATGATCCTGCAACTGTGTCAGATGTCCACTCGCTAAGGTATTATTCCACATCATCTGAAAGGAATAGGTGAAAACTTGAGCCATCTAATACAATCATTTTTATTTTGAGTAGATCACTGTGTTTTTTTACTTGTTTTCATTTCATTAAGTTGTTCATAACATACAGTAGCAAGAAAGAAAGGTGTGTTTTAGAAAAAATGCTAAGCCCTTACTGAGTATCTAAAATGTATTTGTGGTGTACTTTCCAGAAGAAAATTGTATTTTTGTTAATACCATCACAAGTCATTTGAAAAAAAGACCACCAGGACTATGTTTAAGTTTGTACATATCTTGCCTGTAGATACAGAGATCTGTCTTGTAATTGTTTAGTAATTGTAGTTCTCTTCAAAATTGTTTATACTGATGAATGGTAATAACACGTGCCTTTAATGTCCTAACTATAAAAAGTATTTTAGAGAACTAGACCGACAGTCTTTCTGTTAACTACAAAGCAAGCTTTGATTTGGCTATAATACTCACTTAAATGAATAAAGATGAGTTCTGTGAATCAGGGCCAAAGTGAGGAGAAACATAGAGCAAAGAAAGGAATTAGGTGAGGGATGGCTAAACTGTTTTGTTTGTTGAATTTGGATTAATGCTGATTTTTATGGTTTAAAAATAAGAAAACACTTGTCAATTAAAGACACTTTTTTTTTTCCCCTTAGAATTTCTCATTCTCCAGTTTAACTAAATTCTTTTGATGTCAGTATGCAATTGGTTGTAAAATAGCTGTAGAAAAGAAGACTTCAATCTTCAACTACCTAAAACTAAAGAGATTAAATCCTGGCTTTTGAAAGAGGTAACATTTCTCAAGAAGCTTGTCTTTTCAAGGCTTTTTCTTCCACTATTTAAGCACACTCAGTCTCCATTGCTTAGAAACATTGCTATGTATAAAGGCAAGACAAATCTAGTCTTGAGAGTACACCAGCAGCCTTGCAGAATCACTTAGATTTTTTATTCAGTGTATTCATGGGTTGTAATCTCATTTGAAGTCCTGACATCAGATTAGGTGGAAATTTATGGATCACATTATTCTGATAAAAGTGAAAGCTGAAGGAGAACTCCACTGCAATAAGAGTTGAGAGTTATTTACTCTTGTTAATTTCCAAGCTCATTTTTTATAAATAGTTTTTTTTTTTTTTTTCTTTAATTTTCACACTCTAAGGTTTGGCTGTGGTACCAAGTTTCCTGACCTGTTTTAATTTATTAAAACTGTTAAGTACTGTTGAGCCTTTTTTTCCCATTACTTTTTGCATGGCTTGATTGAAGCATTCCAACACTTGCAGACATGAATGCTGAAAGTGGACCAGACTGCTACTATATAGTTGGAATGATTTCACTTAGCAAGCAATATTTCAGATAAACCTAGAATGCTAGTCTAAAATGCAAAAAATAGAACTGCATGTAGACCTACCTATCTGCTAATGAAACTGCTATTTTATTTTATTTTTATTTTATTGCAAAAATGCAAAATACTTGATGGAATTAAATTATTGTTGGAATTTTGTAAATTGTCATCATCATGAATAAGTTAACTAGCATTTACTGTGTCAGTGGAGACATGCCTGCTCCCTTTATTGGGTAGCATGTTAAGGTTGTAAACTTCTCACTCTTAAGGCCAAGAATTTTACAAGGAGTGGGGAAGAGTAAATGTAGGTATGGAAAGATGGAAAGAGTTTGTCCTTAACAAGCACTACATGTGGAAAATTTTAATTTTCCAAAACAGTTCAGATACAAGATGGAGAGAAAATCACACATTGTGAGAATTGTAACTGCAGAAATGGCTACTGCTTAGCTTTATCCTTTTATGTTGCTATTACTAGATATGCAATAAAAACTAAACATATTCATCATATCAGAATACTAAGCCCATTGTAATATTAACAGTGCAAAATACAGTGCTCAGTGCACTGTATATAATTCTATAGCTTTTGATAAAACTCTTAACTAAGAAAAATATAAATATATTGCACAGTTCTGTTTACGGATTAGAATTAAATTAAGAAGTGATTGTTTATTTTGCCCTGAATGTCCAAAAATAAATGTAATATCTGGAAAAATAAAATCATAGCTAACTGGATCTCTCAAACTGAAAACTGAAAATTTTATAGTTGCAACACTGTTGTGGCGCTAAGAGAACACCATATCTTCCAGCAAAATCACAATGATAACACTGAATAGAATATTTTAATACATCCTTTAGCAATAGCACTTCCTACAATATGATTTCCTCAAGCTGCAGCTGAGTATAGCAACAACTAGAATATAGTGCAATGTTTAAAGACATGGTCTTGATCTTAGTTCCTACATTTTTAGCCTTCTTTTCTCATGTATGAAAACAAAACAAAATGTTGTTATTAGAAAATTAGGAAACATTTCTATGTAATTTTATTGGAGAGAGGGTTTTTATTGATAGGCAATGCAAATTTCTGGGGTCATGCTAGGAGGAAGCTCCTTGATACTTGAAAAACAAAAATAAAAAAACCCTTCAAGCTTATTCTATCAACTGGCATGTTTCAACTGGTTGAAAATTCTTATGTTTGATAAGCGGTGAAGTAAATACTTTCACCAAAAAGAGGAGTTTAAATTCCTGATGCATATTGAATTCTATATATATCAAAATTTTTTGCAAATAGCCAGAACACAAGTGCATAAATATTTTGTAGTATGTGTGTGTGTAAGTTGTTCTTTGATCTGCTCATTTTCCAATAAAATTGTTATTTTCAGTCTTTGTCTCCAAATGTTTGTATCCCAAGGGACAGAGTGAAAAGTTAGTCATTTGGATATAGGTATAATAAGAAGTTGTAGCTTTGAGTTCTTCAGCTTTTTGAAGAGAAAATTATATGGTTAAACATGGTTATTGTACTAGATTATTTTCTAAAGAGTAAATCATTTTGTGAATATTTACATAAGCCTTTATAGAACAATACTTTTAATTTAAATACTTTTTACATTACATGCACTCACACTCTGTGTAATAAATCTCGGTCTTGCAAACACTTAAGCACCTGAGGAACTTCAGTGTTACCTAAGCACTTCCAGAGGCACAGATACAGGTTATTTTTTTCCCCTAATACTCTGCATTATTTTATTTTATTTTATTTATTTATTTATTTTTTCTGCAGACATCCTGAGCTTGATACAAGCCACCATCCCAGACAGCCAAGCAAGCCTCCAGATCCAGGACCAGGTTTAAGTAAAAGCAGAACAGTAGATGTGCTGAAGACAGAACAACGGGCACCTGGACGGAGCCCTTCTTCTATTAGTCTAAGGGAATCAAAGTCCAGGACTGATTTTAAAGAAGATCAGAAGCCAAGTATGATGCCCAGTTTTCTCTCAGAAGCCAATCCATTGAGTGCAGTCACTTCAGTTGTGAACAAATTCAATCCTTTTGATTTGATATCAGATTCAGATACAGCCCATGAAGAAGTCGGTAGGAAACAAAAGGTTATCCAGAAAGAGCAGGGGAAACCTGAGGAGCAGAGGGGCAGTGCAAAACTTCCGTCTCAGCAACAGTCTCCAAAGCCAGTGCAGCCACAAGGACATGTCAAACCTACCCCTCAGCAAAGTGAGTCTTCCAAAGCAGTGCCTCAGCAGCAGCAACCTGGGGAGCCAAAGCAAATTCAGAAACCAGGCCCTGGTCACCCAGCAGACTCTAAGCTAGAACAAGTGAAACAACCACCCCAGCCGCGAGGACCACAAAAATCTCAACCCCAACAGTCAGAACCAACAAAGCCTGTTCAGCAACAAACTTCTGCAAAACCTTCAGCGGGCCCAGCAAAACCATTACCACAGCAGCCAGACAGTGCTCGAACATCATCCCAAGCGCCACCTCCTGCAAAACCATCATCACAGCAGCTGGGACCTGTAAAACAATCATCTCAACAGCCGGCAAGGCAAGGAGGTCCTGTCAAGCCATCTTCCCAGCAAGCAGGGCCTCCGAAACAGCCTTCTCAGCAACCTGGACCTGAAAAGCCATCTACTCAGCAAACGGGACCTGCAAAGCAACCACCGCAGCCTGGACCTGGGAAGCCACCTCTGCAGCAGGCCGGGCCTGTAAAACAAGCACCACCACAGTCTGGGCCTACAAAACCACCACCTCAGACTGCGGGGGCCACAAAGCCCCCAGCACAACAGCCAGGATTTACAAAACCAGCAGGCCAGCAACCAGGGCCTGAAAAACCCTCACAGCAAAAGCAAGCCAGTGCAACTCAACCTGATGAATCTGCCCCAAAGAAAACCTTTTGTCCTCTTTGCACTACCACTGAACTGTTGCTGCACACTCCAGAAAAGGCCAATTACAATGCATGCACGCAGTGTCATACTGTAGTCTGCAGTCTGTGTGGATTTAATCCTAATCCTCACATAACAGAGGTGAGTAGCTTTTAAACTGATGTTTGTTACTAGAGGACAAAAGTTTAACTTCATTATGCTGAAACATCAGATTTATTTCAATGTACTATCATGATCATTTAAGGCCTTAACAAGTTCAGAGAAAAAAATCGTGCTGTGTAGGAAAATACCTGCAAGTAAGAGGGGATTTAGGGGAAAAAGAAGGTGGTGGTTCTCTGTACAGTCTTCAAAAGTGTTCTCTTGTTTCTTCATATAAAAAGGGGAACACCATTGTGACTGTTTTGCTCTTTTCCCTGATTTTAAGTACTCATTTGCCATGTTTATAATCAGACCACAATAGTCACATGCTATCATATTTATAAACGCATAAAATATGCTGCTACAAGAGCTAAGTAAACAAACAAATATGGAAAAGACAGTGTTCATAGCTCCACTGTGGGTTTTGGAAAAGGATTTGGGGTGGACTTGCTTCATAACTGTGTCAGCATTCATTAGCTGAAAGCCTGAGTCATGAGTTTTGACTTGGTGATACTCAGGTTATTTCATTCTTGTGGGATGCTAAGAGAGATCTCTGTGGACTGTTTCTAACCTTGATCACCATTCTTGCTGTAATTATATAACATAGAAATTGCATAGAAAGTAATATTAGGACTTCAAATGAACCTACCTTAACCTGATGTTTGCATTGGCCTTATACATATGCCTGCACATATACGTACACTTTATTTGCTCTGTATGGAAATAAGGCTTCATATGAATGTCTAATCTCTTCTTATTGCTTGAACAGCTGCTTATGCATCCTGATACTCTAATTCTAAATTTGCAATGTAGGAGTGTTGTTTTTTTTTTCTTTTTTCCTTTTTTTCCCAATAAAAACACTTTAATCAATTTCTAGAAATTCAAGCATAGTAGACCTGGCACCAAAGACTGGCTAGTAATAAAGCAGAGAGGAAGGGGATTTTGAAAGCTTATTTTTATCTTGTTTTGGTATTAGTTTAGCTGAACAGAGCAGAGATGTCAATAGGAAGAAATATAGACTGGTACTTTATTTGGAATCTGTCAAATAACCCTAGATATAAAATTGCAGAATCAAAGCATTGCTAAGGTTGTTAGGTGCATCTGGAGGTCATGTAGTCCAGCTTCCTGCTCAAAGCAGGGTCATCTAAAGCAGGTTGCTCAGGACTGTGTCCAGTTCTGAATGTCTCCAAGGATGTAGATTCCACAGCCTATCTATGCAACTTGTTTGCATTGTACTGCAGTGATTTAAGGACATTGTTAGTCATTAGATTGCACATGATTATTAATGATATTTTTAGGCAGTACCTGCTGACAGACAGGCATCTGACAATTATTTGTTGATTTATTGTTAAAATTGTCAAAGTTAAACCTGAAGGACTTGCAGTTGCAAGTATTTGCAACTTTTTGCAAGTATTTGTAAGTATTTGTAAGACATTGGATCATTTAGCAGTGTGTTCTTTTGTTTGAATCTAGGGAAAGTCAGGCTTGAGATAAATTGGCATTAATGCTTGTGGATCTATAGGACTAGAAGTGGATTGACTTAAACAGCCATGTGCAGAAATTTTGGAGCATCTGCAACTAGACAGGTGTTCACAGTTTATATTATCAGGGCGTATGCAGGGAAAAAAAAGAATGTATCTTATTTACAATCTGAAGATCTACTGTCATATTTCCAATATTTCATTCTGGATAGCTTAGGGTAGGAAAAAAAAAGTCAGTGACATATAATGGATAAGTAATGCGATGGATTGTTGTTAAAGTCAGAGGAAGGTTTGTAAGAAAACTTTACCTTCAAGTTCTGACAATGTTTTTAGACCAGACTCTCTTACATTTATTTGTGAGTGCTGAGTTCTATTTCCTTAGTGATTTGCTGGAGCTTTTCCTTCTCTTTAGAGCTCCAAGTTCAACTTTGTTTAAAACTTCCGATGTTCTGTGGAAATGGTTGACAACTTCGTTGTGTTCAAATTAAGTTGATTTTAAGAGAGAGAAAGAAAGCATGTTTATGTAGGAAGGTCTCAAAGTAGTTGGAAATTCTGTGGAACTATTAGTTTTTGAAGAGGGTAGTCTCTAAGTGTGAAATTCAGGACTTTAAGACAATAAATACAGCTGCATTTAAGACTAACTGATTACATACATATGTAAAAGCAAATTTGAATTTCTTATTACACATTGAAGTAAACACAGGATATGCGTTTATTTCATGATGAAATCATTTCAGTAAATGAAGGTATTGGGCATCTAATTTATTCAGCTATTAGTTCTAATCTCCTAACTCCCACTCAGGCTTTTCTGATTTGCTCAGCTTTGCACCACCAGCTGTCTTGCTGAAACTTCATTGTGGGTGTCCTGCTCTGATCTGCAGTGAAGTGCAATGAAATCACATCTGACTATTACTGAACAGTTGGAGCAAAGTAATAGAACCTTTTCTGGCACGTAAGAAAATTTGACTTGCTCCATGTGCAAAGGTTTCCACTTGAGTTATTCTCAATCGTTCCTTCCAGCTTCTCTTCACTTTTAATATTAAGATTATTTAAAAGTTTTTAGTTAGTCTTTCATAATAATTTACACTTTTCTTCCTGTCTAGCACAAAACCGATGGCTTGTGTTTTAGCTGTCAGTTCTCTTGATTATGTTGGAAGCTTTTTCTTTTGGTTTCTTAGTTCAAGTCCTTATAAACTGTTACTGAACAAAAGTCTTTCTGTTAGGCATACAATTACTGACTTTATCTTCAGCTCTTACTGTTAGACTTTCTCCTTTTTGAAAAATTTAATGATTCTGTAATCCTGTGTTGTTGCCTTTGCCATGCCTGTTATAGCCTGTATTTTTATTGATTATGTTAAAACATGTACCTATCTGAAAGCAGTACTTCCAAGTAGAGGTGGGGAGAGTTAAAGGCATTTATTTAGAAAAGGATTTTGTTCTCTGACATTTTCCCCTGTACAGCTGTTTGAACTACCTTCTTAAGAAACTCTTTAGCATCTTCTTTCAAGTTTCTTACAGGAGAGTTTAGTCTTCATAACCAGCAGAGTGGTTATGATCTTTCCCAGTGTAGATCTTCCTAAATTTCTATATTCTATATTTCTAGTTGATTCTGGAAGGAATATAAGCAGGGTTTACAGACTGGCTCAGAAAGTGTTGTAAAACCATTACATGTTACATGTAAAACACATTACATGTGTTGTAAAACCATTATGGAAAGTGCAGGATTTTTTATTTTATTTGTATTATCTTTTTCATTTGGACTTCCATTTAAAATGCAGTAGTGCATGCACTGGGTCTGGGTTTAGTCACTAGAGAGAACTGTGTAACTACCAGCAGAAAGTGATACTTCACTGCCACAAGGTCAGGCCCCTGGAACTGTTTCTCTGAACCATCTGACATTGCTGCCCCCCTGGAGAAAGGGAATAGTCTGTATCCTGGTTTTGCACCGCAGTCCAGAGAGGTAGCACACCATACATAACGTGTTTGGAAACATATGTCTCTCTAATCTGTCTAGGTATTCGTACCTCACTCATCACCCGTGCACATGAGTGCCTAGCAATAGTTGCATAAAGTACTGGGAAAAATATAAACAGGTTTGACTGGTACTCTGTTCTGTTTTTCTTTCACTTAAATCAGAAACTTGTAGCAGTAAATACACAATAAATGTGTATTTACATTATCACATGATGTTTTTTTCCTTTTTTCTCTCTCCCTAATTTTTTTTTTTATTTTCTTTTGCTAAAAACATTCCCATCAACTCTGAGCATCAGAAGCCAGCACTATCCTAAAAGAGATTCATCTGTGTTGGTTCAGTTCATCTGAATTTGAGTAGGTTTTCTTAAATGGGCATATACATCTGAGGAACTATTCATTTGGTTCCACGTTTATGTGTGTGTATGTTTTTTGTTGTTGTTTTTGTTTTTGTTTTAATGAAGTTAGATTAAAAAAGCACAAGTTAAATCTAAGTGATCAATGCATATGTTTGATAGCTTATTTATGATGTGCATCTGTAAAGTTGGTGTTGCAGTGGAGTTTCAAAATGTTGGAACCTTGGTTGTATGGGAGCTCTCCACCAGGAGACCCTTGATGCATATGTGTGCAGGGTGCCTGTCTTCTAGGCAGTTTTTAGAGGGATTATTTTTCATACAATGTACCTATCTCAGTAGGTGTTTCACCCGCTGTTTCAACATGCTGTTGAGAGATCATATAAAATTAGTTTTGAACCAAGGTGTAATTTTTTGCTTACATCCTTGCTGGAAATTGCACTTTCAGATAACATGAAGGCATGTATACAGGTGTAGGAATTGTTTACGTGCTCAAAGATCTGCTGGATCTTGGAGGAAAGTGAACTCTCTAAAACCAATTTTATTGGTTCTGTCTATCTTTGAAATAACATGTCTGCATTAAAGTTGACTTAATAGACAATGGAAAAGAGAGCAGGGGGAAAGGGTTATGTCTCCCAAAGTGGAGTGTGTAATATCAGATCAAGTAGAATGTTTTACTGGACCTTTTACCAGCGGCTTCAATAGAAAAACTTTCAACCTTTTTTATTTTTTTAACCCAATCTGAATTTTATTTTTTTTTCCTGTCTTGGGTGAATGGTGAATGGTGATGGTGTCAATTTTTTTCTTCTAACACTAGTGCTAGGGAAATTTCCTGATCAGTTGCTCTAGGTACGATTCTTGATTTCTGCTCTTTCTGAATCCATTTTTATGTACAACTCTATCACAACCATTGATAACTTAGCAGTATTTAACAGATAACAGAGTTTAGTTCAGATGCTCATAAAGATTTTCAGTATTTGTATTTGTTAATGTATTAATTGTTAATGTATTAATGTGCTACATCTCCAAGTATCCTAAACAGTAGCAAATGCTTGGACATGAAATATTTTCAGTAACTAAAGAGAATTTAAGCAGACAGAAGGGCATTAATTTTCATTGGTTATTATCATTATTATTAGCTTGTTTATGGAAAGGAATATAAAATAATTTAAAATAGTACTTTTGGTAGATGGAAGAT